TCTTTCCCTTCAATAATGACAACTTTTGAAACCCAGAATAATTTTCTAAAAAAACAATATCTTGTATAAACAACTACATAAAAAGGTGTTTTATTTTTACACATTTTAATATTTCATAGTGAAATTAAAAGTTCACGTTTTCATGCATTTTTGTGAGATTTTTTCAAACATTAAATATAAAATCCAAACAAGATACAGCTTTATATCATTACAAAATAGAAAATTACACAAACCGGCGACTCATAGTTTCACTATGGTAATAACATTAAGCAAAAAAAAAAAAGAACAGGGAGACATTTGTTCGTGTTATGCACAAAGAAGAGAGGGAAGAACCAAAAAAAACAAAAACAAGCGACCACTCTGAAAGTCTTTTACAAAGTACAAAACGAGTACGAAAGCTTACGGATCTTGAGCTCCGAGTTCCAGAAGTAGAGTGTGGTTTACCGCATCAGATCCAGGGCCCTTGAATTGGATCGGACCTGTAAAATTAGAAAACGATTAAAAAAAAAAAAAAAGAGTATGATAATAAGCTGAATCCATTACATGTATCATTCATTCATCCACTCTTAACTATGACGAACCAGGGCTTATGTAGCGGTTCTTCATAGCCCATTCCTCCCGCTGCGACTCGAATTTCTTGAACGGCGCTCCTGTATTTCCCGACAGGGAAAAGGCAAACATTCTGAGTTAGCTAACAGCATATGTATACACACACATTGAGGTGTTGCTGTTGTGATCTCAAGGTCATAATTCAGAGTCCTCTTTTGCAGAATATTCTGCAACCTGGCTGCCCTTTATATATAGAGATAGATGAAAGATTTCGGTACTGAATAAAAATACCTTCTAGTTCGACCATGGCTTTCTTGATGACAGGCTTGAACTTCCCTGCGAGTTCATTCATTCAACGTTATATGATCATTTCAGGTACAGGCTTGAATTGAATATCACCCTGTTTGTGTTTTTTCATGGTTGATAAAATCTAAAGCTGATTTTCATTATTATGTGTAAAATAAAACCTGGAAGAAATTAACTCTATTAAGTAACTGTACCATGTCTTCTTTCCACATCCATCATTGAAGTAAGTGCAGTACCACCAACTGTCCATTCCTCAACAGGTGCAGCCAAATTCCCTACCTGCAAAAAAAAAATTCAATCACCAACAATGGTTGATATATTTGAGTAAGAAGGAAACAGGAAACGCACCGATGATATCAGTCCAGTCTTTCCGCTCTGAAGAAGTACTCCAGCTCCGTAACCCAATGCATAGCAGTAAGTCGCATCAAAGTTTGTCGGCAGTCCACATCTTCCCTCATACCTATAGAACCGAAAAAATTAAATCAGACGGAGCTAGGGCAAGGAAAGTTGTTATTACAATGGATGTTTAGAAATGCAGTACAAGTACCCAAAGAAATGTGACTGCCCCTTGAACTCGCCTTTGTATGTACCCTCCTGATTCCTTTTCTCCAGCTCAGTTTCAACCATTTGAATAAGCATTTTCTCTGTCTCAATTTTCGCCACCTGACAGTATGAATGCATATGCACTATATAAGCTCGCAAGACCAATCCTGAACACAAGGTGGAATCCAACAGGTAAAAACTGATATGGACCTGGACGTTTCCATGTGGATCTCTCTCAAGCAGCAACTGTTCTTGAATTGTACGCGGAAGGAACTCGAAGAGCTTCAGAGACTGCTCTTTAAGCTTCTTCTTCCATTGACCTTCTTCATCGATGGTCTCATGTGCTAGGATTTCGTTCAGCTCTGCAATAAGCTCTTGCACCTGCAATAGACCGTCCAATTTCAAAAAAATTTCTGCCTCTCTGAAAGCTATACGAAAAAAATTTGGAAAACACAAACACAGGGAAAAGAAGATTAATGACTACATCCTTTGCAGATTAAGATTAATACCTCGGGAATAAAATCAATTAGACCTTCAGGAACAAGAATCACGCCATAGTTATAACCAAGTTCAGCACGTTTACAGATCACATCAACAATGTAATCTGTAGCATTCTTCAACGTCAGTTTCTTTGAGTAAACCTGCAAAAGGAGTATGCATTGATTAATCCTAAAACAGATTCCTTCCTTGTTCAGAAACACTAAATTCAATTTAATGAACTGAGGCACAGTATTAAAATTGCCGGTACCTCTTCTCCAATAATAGTAATGTTTGGGTGTGTTTGCAAAGCACACTCAAGAGTAATGTGAGAAGCAGCACGGCCCATAAGTCGTACAACTGCAGATATGTTATTAGAAAACACAAATCGTTATTAGACCATATCATCTGCTTATTACTGAAAAATGTGTGTATTCTCGGGAGATAGGCTTCGTTTAGGTGGTCATTCAAATCATTCATTTGCTGAACTGAATTAGAAGATCCTACGACAATGCTTACAGTGATAGTATTTTCCGGTTGAGCGTGCATCTGTCATAACATTTCCAATCATTTCTGAATATATCTGCATTTATAAAAAAGATTTTTTAAAAAAGTTTTCTACAAAGACAACCAACTGCTTCTTGCATCAGCAAAGTAGAGTAATTAAACAACAAAAGTGTAAAAACATATGAAATATAAACTTTTCTCCAGCTGGAAAACGTCAGATTTTGCATTTTGAATGTCCATTTGAACTCACCTTACAAGCAGTATCAAAACCAAAACTCGCGGGAACCTCTTTGCACTTCAAATCACCATCGATTGTCTTGGGACACCCAATAACCCGGGTTTTCATGTTTTTACTCCTGGTATTGAAGGGGAAAAAATATGAACCACTAGAAAGAAAAAGTCTTGTAACTACATATGAGAACCGATTCTTGTGGCACAAAATGAAAATGCAGTTAAAAGGATTTGAGGGACGAGTCGATATCCAACTACCTGAAGTTTTCAGCAAGGAGACAAGCATTCGTATTGGAGTCATCTCCACCAATAACCACAAGTCCATCCAAGTCCAGCTTCGTTGTTGTCTCTTCAGCTTGCTTGAACTGCAAATCGTAACATCTAATGGTAACTCAGAGCACCAGTGGAAAACTTCCAACTTAGAAGACAGGAGAAGAACTTTACCTGCTCGGGAGTTTCTATTTTGTCTCTCCCACTGCATATCATGTCAAATCCACCCTGCAAAACGCATATCCAAACTATTGAGCAGAACACGACAGTATGCGCATATAACTTCTGACTCTTTTGTCCATGACTAGTTTGATCCAACAAAATTTCATTTCACAAATTTTCAAGCATTATTTAAGACTTATGGATCAAATGATACCTGATATGAACCATATACAACTAAGACAACAGTTCTGGAAACCGAAAACTCAAATGTGAGATTCATATTAGCAAATACCTGGTTTCTGTAGGGATAAACATAATCAGCAGTCAGCTCAACATATTTGCATTTCATGATTCCGGCTGGACCACCCCGGAAACCATACAACGTGCTTCCCTTGGCATATTCCTGCAGGTAATCTATCAAAGCAACAAAAAATCCAATCTTCACTCATGTTCTTAAAACTTAAAAGAACAGAAAATTTTCGAGCTCAGACAAATTCAGAAAATATATCTCACCGAAAATTCCACAGATGACATTGTGTCCTCCTGGTGCCTGTCCTCCGGACAAAACAACCCCAACCTTTAGGTTCGAATCAATCGGAACTGCACCAGAATGTTCAGTAACCAACGACGCCGATGGTTGTCCAAACATATTGGGAAATAACTTCTCAATCTCCTCTGCAACAGCAAACCATGATCGAGTGAATCCAAGTCTTATCCCAAAAACTTATGCAACCTTAACAAATTCCATTCCATTCATTCATTCGTCTAGTGATCTTCGTTTCATGAGCAATCAAACTATATGAGCAATTCCCGGATGAATCAAACTTCGAAATAGTTTACTCTGTTTTCTGACCGTACACCAAACTTTCTCAGCAAACAAACAGAATCAGAACTTCCTTCCGATCATACGAAGTAATCAACTCGAAATTAGAAAAGGTCGACTGACCTGGATGACCGGCGGCGGAGCTCGGAGGACCATCGACGATCCTGAAGGGTTTCTTAAGAACGGAAGGAAGAGGAAGCGCGTGATCGATACGCTTCGCTTGAACTTCGCTATGTACAGCAGCCACACGCAGACTCGCCGTAGAAATCGCCGGATCTCCGGTGACGGTGTCGCCGCTCAACACAAACGCCGGTGCCATGTGGTTTATTGTACCAGATTAGCTTCTTTTTTTGTTTGGGTGACTCAGACAGTGTGATTGAAAAATGAGATTTCTCTTTTTTTGTACAAGCCTATCCGAAATTGGATGGGCAAAATTGTAATTAACCGCTTTATATAATAATTTTTGTGAAAAAGCTAAAAAGAATATACGGCCCATTGATGTAATTATTCCCTTCTTGTGGGACTTTTTTATAATTGTTATTTTCTGTGGGTTAGTTTGGTTGGTTCAGATAAAAGAGTGTCAGGTATTAATAAATAAAAAAAGAGGCAGTTTGCAAGAAAACACATTAAATCAAATACCAAACAATCTAAAGAGACTAACGTCCACCGTTTTAGTTATTATTTAAATAATCCAATCGAACAAGGCATACCTATATTGAATTTAATATAAAAATTGAATGGTTATGGTTTCTCAATATTCAAAAATTAAAATTGAATCAAATCAAACTAAATTACAAAATAATCGAAAAATTCAAAAAAAAAAATGGAAAATTGAGTTTTTACCGATAAAAAACTGAATATGAACCGAAGCGAAATTGGTATAAAAACCAAATGGTTATATATGAACTCAAACCCAAAATGATCACCCCTAACATTAACCCTTGAATCATTCATGCACGGTACGTTTTCGAACTTGCTACGTGTAAAATTGAACATACACATATTATATACGCAAATATGAATTAACTATACGTGAACAGCATTCAAGTTATGTATGGATAATATCAGAATAAACTTACGATAAATGAAGAATCCAGACATACATAATCACATGTTGAACACAATACACGACATGATTCTATCCATTGTATCTTATTTGTTTCCCCGAGTTTTAACTTAAGACGAAGAGAGGGAAGAAAAAGAGGGGGGGATTACATGTTATGGTTGGTGATGTTTCAGTTGGAGGTTTCCAAGAGAGAGCTGCCTTCTTTGAAGAGAACGAAGACGCTTCCGCCGTCGCCCCTCGAGATCCGAAGGTCTTTGTCCAGAAAAGTCGTGAGCAGCCACGACTGAGCGTTGTCGCTCGGTAGAGAGAACTTCAATGGCGGGCGGCTCGATATGGTTCGAGCCACCGACGTGGCTGTGTCTTGGAGTGAAGTGAGTAGGCCTCTTATGGGGTTCAGGTCGATCTTCTGTCCTAAAACCTCCACGTTTTCGGGGATTTCGATTTCGATATGGTTCGAGCCACCGACGTGGCTGTGTCTTGGAGTGAAGTGAGTAGGCCTCTTATGGGGTTCAGGTCGATCTTCTGTCCTAAAACCTCCACGTTTTCGGGGATTTCGATTGAATCCGTCAGCTGAGGAGTACCAATGATCCCTTGCTCGAACTTGATCTGCAAACACAAACCCAATTATGTTTTCCCGTACTCGAGGTGGACATAAATACTCAAAAATCGGATACATACAGGTATTGATTTGTAAAAACCAGATTTTCGGGTATTCCACCTTTCATGGGTAAGGGGTGGGTAATTTTTTATGATTACCAACTTCTAAATTAGAAGGTATTGAAGATTCAGGGTTTAAGGGCAATGAAAGAAGAACCTGGACACGTCTAGGGCTTCGGACTTCGAATTTGGCATTGGTGCTAATGGAAGTTGTGGCAAGAGGCCCTGCAAACCGGACGGAGTTCTGGACTGTGAAACTCTCAGAGTCAATTGTCTGTGAGATCTCATCCACTTTTACAACTGGCACTATTCCTCGCGACAGCAGCGGGAACAGACCCACGAACGATGTGTAGCTGCGAATTTTCCAAAGTTAAGATCACGAGACATAATCCACGAGCTTCAACTGTCATGACTCGTGACCAAAAAGCTTGAAACATCATCATCCATGTCTACAACTTTTTTCCAGACTACACCTACCATTTACCAAACTGAGCAACATCATAGCAAACCCATGTCTACAATTTCTTCCATTATTCGAATAAAACGAAAATCCCCATTCATTATCTCTCAGACGCAAGTTGAATCATAAGTCATCAACATTCATGTTTCATTAGCAACCTAATGAGCCATAGAAGCAGAGGACTTCCATTACAGCACATATTTCTAAAGCCACCATCTGTAACAATACATAAGCTCAAGACCCTTGAATCATGTTTCTAGTTAATTTTTCTTCAGATGATCAACTTTGTTTCCAATACATGCCAACTTGTATCTTTTGTGTCATTTTGAATTCTTGGATCGGAAGTGCAGTTTTTTTCCTTTGTTATTGTCAGTTTGTCACATATGCCCGTTACCCAAAAACCAAGCAAACAAAGGCACACGAAAGAAACGCCACGAGCCGTTTGCTTCTCTATTCAGCTAAACCCACGTGAAACGCGCCTGTCATGGACTTTGAATTTTTTTTTTTCTTGACAACCAAACAGAAAATTTTCCCACCGGGAAAAAAAGAATCGGAAAACTTACGCGAGAATCCATTTGCCGTTGAGCAGAAACAGAGCATCCGTCGGCGCCGGAGTAGGATTCTTCGCCTCGAGCTGCGTGATGAGCTCCCCAATCTCGGCCCTTGTCTCGCTCGACGCTCTCAGACCTCGATCCGTTCCGTACAACGATTCCGCCAGCGCTCTCTTCAGCCGCTCGGTCTCCTCCACGGCTTCGATGGCCTCCTCTATCTCTCTCTCCACCACTGATACGGGTGATCTGTTCTCCGATGGCTCACTCCCCCACTCGTCTTCCACCTCCGAGGATCTGACTCTGAAATCCGGCCGAGAAACGGCGATTCCTCCGGCCAAAACCGCCGGCATCCGGTTAATCGAAGTCATCCGCATCAGAATTGCAGGTTTCTTTTGTGATTTAGAGTTCCGTGAGGTCGGAGGTCGTGTTTTGCAGGGGAATTGGCTGGACAACGATACTGACGCCATCTCTTTTTCTTTTTCTGCAGAGCAAATCAGTCAACCAGAGACGAAATCGAATCCCGCGATTCAGAGATGGCCGCTCTCTTAATTTATAGTCGTCGCGATGTGAATGCGAAATGATACATACACCCTCGGTTTACCGATTAATCCATCAAAATCTGAAGGGCAGTACCGACTTTCTATATAGATCAAACATAGCGATCCAGGATTCTGACACGTGGATGGTTAGATAACACGTAGGATAATCGACAAAACACCAGCCTCGTGTGAGGCGAGTATTGTTTTGGTAGTCGGCCTGAAATTGCTGACTGCATAAAAAAAATTCGTATACAATTTTTTCATTTTAAATGACATTAAAATAATAAGATAAGCTACATTTTTACTATTTCTTGTATTAAATTTCAACTATTTGTAAAAATTTATTCAACAAAATATATGAATGACGATCCAATTGTTTAATTTATAAAATTTGCGTATTTCGAAATTGGTTAAGAGAAAGAAAAACAAAAATGAATTGGAGTGGAGAAATGCCAAAGGAAAATGGCCCTCTCACACCTAGAAGCTTCGACAGCGTCATTTTTATCGTCTTATTGGTCGTGGCGTTTGGCGTTCGTCGGGACGCTCATAGCATATCTAACGCAGCGTTTCAGGTAGTCATGGCGTTGCCAAACGCCGACTTAGGCCTATTAGAATATGAAAATGGGCTTAAATCTTTAGCGGGCCACTTATATATATATTTGTATCCACAGTACATAGCCTCTGTTCCGTAATCAGCCATGCATTTGGGAAAAAGAACACGTTCACTGTAATTAAATTTCGTGTACACACCTCATGACTGCCAAGGGCGTCACCCCCTCATGATCACGTGCACCGCATTATTTCGACCGTCCGATCGTTCAATAAATGTCGAGGATCTCGATGATCGGACGGTTGCATAGCGGACACGTCCCTCGGTTCAACCACAGCTCCCTGGAACACACTCTGCAAAAAGTGTGGCCACATGGGATAAACGCCGCTCCTTTCTCCCTTCCCATGCACACGCAGCACACCGAATCATTACTCGTCCCCATTGACGCCGTTAATATCTCCGTCTCTGTCTCCCTCCCGTTAACTCTCTCCGCCGTTTCCTCCAGCAGTCTCATTAACGACACCCTTAACGGCGTCATCGGCGTCTGCCCCTCCTCCGTCTCTCTCGCACGGTAGTGTCTCTCCGTCGCTAACGCCGTCTCAAGGTTCATACCCGACCCGGAAGAATCCGACCCAGTTACGACTCGGGTCTGACCCGGTTCATCTTCGTCATCGTCGTCGTCATCTCTGGCGCTGAGAGTGGTGTTGTTAGTTGTTCGGAGACCCCAGGTGGGCCCACAGCATCCGATGCCTTTGAATCGTAGCCGTTCCTTCAGAGAACGTTTCCTCCTCATCGGTCGATCAAGACCGTCCATCTGGCCTCCGATCAAATCCAGGAACGTCGTCGTCGTCGACCGGGATCCCTCCGGCGGTCCCTGACTCGTTCGGATGCCGAGTTCGCTCATTCACGACTCGTCTGCAGAACCTCGGATGAGATTATACTGTGTATATATACAGAGAGAGGGTATAGATAGAATGATATGGTTATAGAGAGAGAGAGGTGTTTTGATGTCATAAAGAAATATAAAAATATTATATTCGTTATCTTTTTCGCAATAAATATTATATTCGAGTTTTGTATATTAAAAGATCAGCTATAACCCCTAATCCTCCGTTCGTTTTATAGGTAGCCATCGATACAATATGATGCGTCATTGAATACTATTACGGATTGGTATACATATTGACATTTTTATACTAACTTAAAGGAATCAAATCTCATATAAGATATGGTTTTCGATTTATATCAATTCGATACCATTTTTTATGCTAAAATTAGTATTTTTATTTCGGTGATTTTTATAGAGTTTTTTTTTTAAATGCTATTTTCATTCTTATCATATGGGAGATTTTCACTAGCCATTCGAATATTTATATAACATATTTGGATGTTAAAAATTAGTTGTTTATTTTGGATTCATGATATTTAATTATAAAATTCTTATTTTGATTTTTTTTTCTAAATTTATAAATATTATGATTAGCTTCTTTCAAAGGTAATTGGTTTAGAGTATGTATTGTCAAATAAAGTATACAGAATTTATTTAATATTTAAAGTGAAAGAGAAATTAGAACGGATGATATATAAAACTTAGAAAGATGTGCTCTTTTGCTGTCTAATGGGGACCAATTCTACTGAGTAACTTTATTTTTTCTAAAGATTGGAAATTGTTTCGTGGTTATTTGGTTAATTAGTAGGAGCGCAAAAAAATTCAAACATATTCATTTCTAGGGGTGGCCATTTCGGTTATTAACCGAATAACCGAACCGAACCGAATAAAAGCGGTTCGGTTCGGTTCGGTTATCTGCTTAATAACCGTTGAATAACCGTTCGGATTCGGTTCGATTCGATTAATAATTGAATAACCGCGGTTAACCGAACAGTTATTAGAGTTTTTATGATATTTTAATTTTTACTCTTATTATTATTAGTCTTATTTTTTTGTAGTTCATCTGTAACTTATGTGTTTCACCTAATAAACCATAAAATTTAATATTTTTAACTTTTAACCTAATTATTGAAGTTTTTGTAGATTTTTTTTGTAACTTTTTCGGAGCATTAATTATTTTATGGATTTATTTGGATAGATATTTTGAAGTTTGTATAGGATTAATATATATATTTTTTAAATATATCATAACCGAACCGAACTAAAACCGAACCGAATAAACCGAAAAATTCAACCGTTTGGTTATAATTTTATTATGCAAAACCCGGACCGAACCGAACCGAAACCGAACCGAATAAATCTATATAACCGTTTGGGTATGATTTTTTTATAACCGAAATGGTCACCCCTATTCATTTCAAAAGAAAAAAAAAGTAACCGCCCATACTTTCAAGTTTCAACGAAAAAATAAAAGAAAATATTGGTATAAAAAATTCCTGAATTTATTAAAGATTTTAAAAAAGAAAAAAATGAAGAACAGTAGACTTCAAGTATATTGCGTTAGTAACCACATTAACATAAAGTGCATGTTAAATGAATAATAATAATAATAAAATAATAAATGCACCGAGGCGTTTATTCCACGTGGAATGTCCCAATGGAAGACGACGTCGTCTTTGCGGGCGATCCACTTCGCGCGAAACCAAATACACATTCTTCTACTTGACGTCACTTTTCCTCAAAAGGCGAAAAACTAATATTCCTTTGATCCCTCTCTGCAGTTTTTGAAAGTTCTCTTACATTTGTGACAGATTTCTTTCAGGCAAATCTCTTGAAATGTCAGAATTTAACATAGCTGACTATTGCACGTTTTTAACCCAATTGGACCCGGTTCGGTGAATTGGCCCGAACCGGTTTCTACTCTGATCTCCCTTCAATTAGTTTATTAGATTATCATACTAATTGGATCGGATGACAGGGTTGAACGTCAGGTATATGAATTTGGAATATTAGGGTATTCGATCAGTGTACATATTCATTGCTAGTGAAAACTAGGTATCGTATTTAAGTATTCGGTTCGGTTTTTATTTTTTATTTAAAAAAATATTATTTTAAAAAAATCGATTTTAAAAAATGTGATTCGATTCTGAAAAGTTGAGTTCTCTAAAAGAATATCGTTTAAAAAAAATTTTAAACGATTCGATTAAAAAATGATATCGATTTTTTGGGTTTGGTAACGTTGGATTCGTGTTTCGAAGATATAGTACCAAAACGATAAAACTCGGTTTTTTGGGTTTGAATTCGGGTTTTATGGGAAGAAGATAGTGACACGTGTTTGTCGTTTACCGGAATTTCGACACTAATAAATCACATTCTTTATTTAGTAGTAAGTAGTAAAACATCAATCATTGCACAAGTAAACTAAGGTAGAGTCATTAATAAAATGTGTACGGTCCAAAAACATTGATAACAGTATGTACCAAATTAAATAATAGTTTGAACAATCACCGTTACACATTTGTTACATTTTTGTAATAAAATAGCATGCAACGCAAATACAAAGACAACAGATGGCTCGCCAGAAGCCAACAACCAACACTTTCTGATTCATCGGAATATCCATGGAAGGAGCGACGGAGCGAGGATCTCGAGATTCCCTTTTACCTGGAACCCGACCCGACCCGATCGGAAAACCGCCGGAGTCTCCGGCGGTTCACCTGTCTTTCCCGCGCTTCGTCGTGTGGTTCGATCAGTCGAACCGCGGCGGAGCTGTGGTGTCGTGGTCGATCTTCTTCCTCCTCGCCGTCGGGGTCCCGATAATGTCGCACTTCGTGTTGATATGCTCCGACTGCGATTTCCAGCACCGCCGTCCGTACGACGCCGTCGTGCAGCTGTCGCTGTCTGGCTTCGCCGGAATCTCGTTCGTCAGCCTCTCCTCTTGGTCGCGCAAGTACGGAATCCGACGGTTCCTGTTCCTCGATAAGCTCTGGGATGTTAGCGACATGGCTAGATTGGGTTATGAATCTCAAATCCAGGTACCATTACCACGAATTTCCTCGATTGATCTGATTTCCCCCTTCTGTTTTCTCTGTTCTTCACATCTTCTCTGTCGCGTCTGCAGAAATCAATGAAGCTGCTCACCATCTTCGTCCTCCCATCGCTAACCCTAGAATCCGTGTACCGAATCTGGTGGTACGTGACAGGATTCGACGAGATTCCGTACACCATCAACCCTTTCCTCAGCCATGTCGTTGCCTGCACTCTCCAGCTCTCCTCCTGGCTCTACCGTACTTCGCTCTTCATCTTCGTCTGCCTCCTCTATCAGCTCACTTGCCATCTTCAGATCCTCCGCCTCGAGGATTTCGCCCGCTGCTTCTCCTCCGAGATATCCGATGTGAGCTCCATCCTCGCCGAGCATCTCAAGATTCGACGTAATTTGAGGGTTGTGAGCCACCGGTTCAGGCGATTCATTCTCTCCTCCCTTGTTCTCGTCACCGCCACTCAATTCATGGCCTTGCTCATGACCATCAGAGCTAGCGTCTCGTTCAATATCTACGAAGTTGGTGAGCTCCTGGTGAGAAGATTAAGGTGCGCTATCTTCTCTGTTTCCATCAATGGATGTTCATCACCATTGATGAATGATGATTTCTTCTCCACAGCTATGCTCCATAACCTTGGTGGCGGGCCTGTTCATATGCCTGAGAAGCGCAACCAAGATCACTCACAAAGGTCAATCCGTCACAAGCCTAGCCGCGAAATGGAACGTTTGCGCCACGATCGACTCGTTCGACGATCTCGACGAAGAAACTCTGAACCATCAGTTCCACGTTATCGAATCCGAAGACGAAGATGACGAAGAAGGAGATGGAGACGACGATCTCGACAACACCAAGATATTACCGATCTACGCACGAACAATATCTTTCCAAAAACGTCAAGCTCTAGGTTACGAAACCCGGGTTTTCATCTATGGTGGTTTAGGACGAAGATTATCATATTCATTTCAATTCAAACGGACGAAACTTTCCTGTGTTTTTCTCCCTGCAGTGACATATCTGGAGAACAATAGAGCAGGCATCACTGTGTACGGATTCATGGTGGACAGAGCATGGCTTCACACCATCTTCGGCATCGAGCTTGCACTTTTTCTATGGCTTCTCAACAAAACCATCGGTACGTTAGATCTAACCTTGTCCCATTATACCCAAACTTTGATAGTTCAACCGATGCAACAGGTATAAACTTTAAATTTGGAAAAGAAGTGTGTATTCTAAATCATATATCTGATCTCTGATTCCGAAATTAGTATGAACTTTGGTACACGATAGTCGGTTATCAAAAAAAATCTTTGTCCCATTATTACAAAATCAGTCCTTTTAATCAACACTATCCTCTTCTTCTCTTTTGGCATGACAGCGAACATTCCATGAAAATTTTGGTCGGTCGTATTTTAACTTTCAACGAGGTCATGGTTTCTTTCAAAACACTTTGAAGATGATCCAAGCGATGTTCATGGTGTTCGTTCAAGTACAAATCTTTAGGCACGTCAATGACAATGTTATGTACAGTTATACATGCATACATACGCATAAATGTATATCGATGTTCTACCGTCTTTGAGTATTAGATGTTGTATCCAACGATATAAAACCATGTTGTTTACAGATCGAGTGTACAATTGAACGAACAATTGTTGCATTGATCATTTTTTGCAACGTGACTAGTCTGGTTAATTGCTGAATAATTAAACCAATCCGAATCGAATAACATAAGATTATAACCAAACCGAATTCGATATAAAAATTGAATAGTTATAATTATTCTAAAATCAAATACGAACCGAACCGAGAAAAAAATAAATTGAATAGTTATAATTATTCTAAAATCAAATACGAACCGAGTAAAAAAATAAATGGAATAGTTATAATTGTTCGTGTTTGATAGAAAAATAATATCAAATTTCCGTACTAATTTTCTATTTTTCATGTAAAACAATAATATTATTTGAGATTCTCAAGAATATAAAAAAAAAAAAAAACAAACCAAAAGTAGAAAACGACGTCGTTGCAAACACGACAGGAAGCCATGCTCGACGGTCGTTGTTGATATTTTTATTTTATAAGGAGAGACGGAGCAAAGGTGAGAATTTCGGAGAGACAGAAAGATACGATTCTCCAGAGAGAAGAGAGAAACACAAGATCCATGGCGGCTTCAAAGCTTCAAGCTCTCTGGAATCACCCTGCCGGGCCCAAAACCAGTGAGTCAACTCGTGTTTATATATATATATTTAATTTCTTGTTCGATCATCGTCGTCTTCATCGATTTCGGCTTTTTTTTTTTTTTGCTCCAATAAGACTTGATTATCCGATTTTAAGTTATATGCATCGAACTCTGTGATCCTCGAATTCGTGCTTCTCTATATCGGATCGAATTTTGAGATTACCTAGTCTTATCCTGTCAGCATCATTTCATCTTCGGACGATTTTCGAATCTCGGCATGTATCTATCCATTGCGATGACCGTGTAATGGATAGGAATCTAGTTTTCCGTGAAAGTGGAGAGAATCTATTTTCATTGAGGGTATCAAAACTTGGACTCGTGATTTTCCTGTTTGATTTGTGTCCCCCCGCAAAAAATTGCAAGTTTATGCACATTTTTTCAGGACATAAAATGATTTTTTGTCCAATTTCCATTCAATGGATTAAAGCAAGTGCCTTTCATAAGCTTGATCGAATTCGAATCTGTTATACCTTGGATCTTATGGTGAAAAAAACCCGGCCTTTCGAATTGTGTTTTCTCAGTTCATTTCTGGGCGCCGACCTTTAAGTGGGGTATCAGCATTGCTAACGTTGCAGATTTTGCGAAACCTCCGGAGAAACTTTCTTACCCTCAACAAATAGGTATACATCCCTTCGCGTTCTTGGCGAATTTTTCATGATTATATCTCGTTCTTAATCCGTATACGATTGCATATTTCTTCATCTCTCGAGTCTTTTTTATCACATTTTAAGAGTTTTTTCTGCTCTGTCGTAACAGCGGTCGCATGCACTGGAGTTATCTGGTCACGCTACAGCACTGTGATCACTCCCGTAAGTATCCTTATTCATGATAATGCCATCGTGGGAACCTTTCTTTACAATCGAACTAATCTGTAAATCTTGTTTGTTTGTACTTCTCTTCCCGCCTTCCTGGAGTCGGTTTTTGGATGGGTTTTTTGTTTCTGTCTTACATTAATATTCCTCTCCTTTGTGTTTATCCAACTTACCCGAGTTTTGTATTTTTCGTTCTAACAGAAAAACTGGAACCTCTTTAGTGTGAACCTTACCATGGCCGGGACAGGTCTCTATCAACTCGCCCGGAAAATCAAGTAAGAACGGCTTAACATTCAGAGCACCTTCTATATTCTATGAAGATATAAAATGCACTAAATGCTTGGAAACACCATTTCGGTTGCTATAAGCGCTTAGCTTAACTGGGGAGCAAAATGGTGAGCTGAACTACATATGACACCATTGGTTATCTATCATCAAACTTCACCATTATCATAAAACATGGCCTCTTCTTATACTAGTGACTTTTTACTGGGTTCATTGCATATAAGATATGACGTTGGTTTTAGTTTTGTTGGTTGCCACTTACCACAAAACCTCTCTATCTTTTATCCGGATTTGGCACCGGCTAGACAAGAGCAAACTCATGGCTAGGCTATGTCGCGATGGTTGGTTATTTTACGATGCCTTTCTCGCCCTTTTTGACTAATGTGATATGCTCTCTTATGTTTTATAGGCACGATTATTCATCTGAAGCAGAGCCTGCTGTTGCAAATGAATGAATGATGATCAAGGCCGAACCTTTCTCATTGTGTTTGGATTCTGGAATGACAGAGTCACGGTAACACATTGTTCACGATTTGGAAACACATTGCAGAATGCTAAAATTTAATTGGGTAAAAACAAATTAATGGTCGGCTCAGTTCTTAATCAGACAGTAATTTGGGGGGGGGGGGGGGGTAATTAATGGTCGGCTCAGTTCTTAATCAGACAGTAATTTGGGGGGGGGGGGTGGGATCTGTGACAGCTTTCTTTTCACTTTAGTTTGTTTGTTCCTAAAGACATCAAAGAGTGAAGACAGAGGCATGAACGAACCCAACTCATCATCACACTTCTAATGATCCGTCTCCTCCGCTCTCTGCTCATTCTCTGAATCTCCATCTTGTGCATTTAAGTTGAGGCTTAGATCCAATGTGCTTTTGTTCAGATCTTGCCTTACCATTTTCCCATCCTCCTGCCGGCCAAAAAATTGTGATAAACAGGTCTAGCAAGCAAGAACGTTTACCCTTTCAACACATACAACAATAACAATTCACGATCGGACCGATAAATTCCTTTTCTCCATTCATTTCGAGTTTGGATTAAGTCTTCCAAAATTTGTAAACACTGCAAATCATGGACTAATCACTCAACCCTAAGCGAGTCTAGGTCTAACCCTTTTAACACATGAACCTAAAAAAAATGAATTTTGGTGGAAAATTCTATACTAAGCTCTATAACCAGCCCAAGCAGCAATAATGTAGCGAGTACAGTCTAGAATCCAACCAAGAGGATAGTTCAAGGAAACTCATTGAACAAGATTTTATACTATAATCGAAGGTCGAGAAGGTTCTATCAACCACTCCTATCAGCAGCACTCGGACTAAATGGAAACAGCCAAGTTCAGATGAAGTTAAAAGTCAAGTTGGGCAGCTGAAGAATAAGGAGTGACACAGATGGAAGTTCAATGTCAAATATTTCACCTGATTATCTTCCACTGGAACATCATTTATGTCTGGTTTTTCCTCCATACCACCTTGCTTCTCGTCTGAGTCCGCTCTGTCGTTATCGCTAGGCTTAGCATCCTCCTCATCAACCTTGTCCTCGTCCTCATTTTCTGGAGTTTCCCTCTTCTGCTCTTCTAGCACTGCAATCTGCATGAACACCTAGTGAACTCCAATGCCCAAAGATCGAAAAGACTATAAATGGGGAAGGTCAAACACAAGTTCTTCAGGTGGACAGAAAAAAAAAGCCATGTTCTTCAATTCTCTAGCTCCGAATTCCTTTTTGTTGGACCAGGATTGAGCTCCACACATTTTGATTCAAAGAATGTTTGGATATACTTCCAGGATCAAGTTCATTACTTTCTTCTTCTGTCTAAGCTCATTCTCCAAGTGTCCTCCTGATATGCAAACCTTAGGAAAACCCTAACTTTACATGGACAATCTATGAACCTCCATCCGCCTATGACTCGATGCCCGAACGCCATGAAACCTAGGAAACAAATCTACTTTGCAGATATCTCCACCATTGAAAACCCTAATCCGCGGTGAATTCAGTGGCAAAACCATGAGAAACACAGATCACCAGAAGCAGACCCTCAACAGTACCTTTTCAGATCTCAAAACTTCATACTTTCTTATTCCAATATCAAAGAGAAAACCCTAGACCACTATTGAAATCTACCAAGCAATCGAATCCCCATCCGAAGCCGTAAGAATACCAAATTCCGTACCGAATTCATCAAAACAACTCACCGGGACATATTTAAATTTCCGCCTCGGAGGCTCCTCCGCTGAGTCACCGCTCGGAGAATTTCCCTCTCTCTTTCCATTACTACCGCCATTTCCGTTACCGTTGTTGCTCTGCGACAAAGGAGTCCACTTGTACAGCAACAAATGCGACCCATTGCTCTCGTCGGCAGCCGAACCACCGTTAACGGCGACGGGGGCGGTGGCGGAGCTGGAGTCTTTCTTGTTGGAAGGAGAGACGTGGACCCACTTCTTCTTCCATTTCCTCACCGGACCCGTAAACACCGTCGCTGGTCCGTACCGGGTCGAGGATCGCCCGAGTCGGGCCCCAACTCCCTCCATATCCGACCCGGTTTCGCTGATTCACTGCTCAATCCGAATCCAGAACCCGATCCGCTTTTCGGAACAACAAATTTTCTATTTTCCGAAATTAGAAACTGCTACGAAAGCAAAGATCTTTGTTGTTGGTCTCCTTCTCTCTGAGCGAAAAGAATGATCTCTCCTTCTCTTGCCGCTGCGGAAGCCATTTTTCATTTATTTTGTTTACGAGGAAAACACTCTTTCTCAGTCGGAAGCTTACGCTTGACACGTGTTCACGTTTGAATGGATGAATAGTCAAAGGTTCAAATACACCCAAGGGTACCATATACCTTCTCGTTCGGGGCAAAGACTCTAGATGATCAAGAGGATCCGATATTCCGGCACTTGAAAAGTCGAAAACGCCCTCCATCCTCGAACCCCCCAAAAAAAAAAGTAAAAAATGGAAAAAAAAACCCGGAATAGGGGTCTTCTTCGATTCTCACTCGATTCCTCCCAAAGAGAATCTGTTCTCGAGTCTTTTAAATTTTTTAACACAAGCTCGTGCAAGAAGAAACCGCCGATCCACCATGGCTGGATTCATCTAAGCTCTGGGTCAGACGACGTAGAGAGAAAGGAGATCTGTCCGTTGTTTTTTTTTTTCGCTTGAAAACGGTATGCTCTCCTTTTAGAATGGCGCTGTTTACTTTGTCCTTGATCGGAATCTGATTCGTCGCGGTCTTTGAATTTCGGAAAAGAGTGGATCGAGATTATTTTTTTAATTTGTTGGATCTGTTTAGTTTGCTTGGGTCGTCGTGCTTGTGCCTGAGGAGGCATTGTTGTTAAACTCTAAATTTCATTTTGTTTTTTAATTTTTATCGATTTGGGTAAGTGTCCAAAAGTTGATTTCTACGAATTCTCATATGTAACTGGAGGGGCATCTCTGTTTCATTTGGTGATGGATCTATGCGATTATTTGATGGAATTCGCCTGTATCTTGTTGCTATTTGTTTGATTTGTTCTCTGTTTTGTCTTTAATATGATCTGTTATTGGATTCGATTCTGTTTTCATATTTATCTCGAGTTCTTCCACAATCCTATTTCGTGTTGTTTGTCATGTTGGTTTTGTGCCATTCGTAGTTACTTCCCGTGGTCAGTGGTATGCTTTTACAAGTTATAGTTTGAAACCATTTTAGTGATTGCTTAGGTTGTCCCTTTCATTTTCGTTGGAACTTTATTGATTAGGGTAATGTATATCTTTCTGTTCTGCATGCATCCTAGTGCTTTTGTGATGTTTGGTATTCCTTTGAGGTTTCATCTGAGTTTCCATCCTCTGTTTTTCCTTTTGGCATGAAATCTGGTGTTCTGAAGTATGTTTTTGTTTCTAACAGGATGTGGTTTTGAAACCTCCACGACCTTTGTGATTCTCTAGTTTCTGTCGGTCTAAACCCAAGATACATTTGTTCGTGATTCATATCAAGAGGGTACAATGGACAACGGGATATCGAGCTTCTGGGGTCCTGTGACATCTACTATTGAGTGTTGTGAGAAGAACTATGCCTACTCGTCGTATATAGCGGAGTTCTTTAACACAATATCCAATGTCCCTGGTGTCCTTTTGGCTCTCATCGGTCTTTTCAATGCATTAAGGCAACGGTTCGAGAAGAGGTTTAGCATTCTTCACATATCCAATATGATACTTGGTATGGGCAGCATGCTCTACCATGCCACTTTGCAACGCATGTAAGTGCAAAATATTTTACTACTGTTGTGGAATTAGTGAGTGAATCTTGTCATTGTTTGTCACTTTGTCCGAATATTGGAGCACATTTGCAATCATTACTACTGGAACATGTAGAACTCCCGACATACACTTAGAAGTTTTGAGGTTATGGAGGAGTGGTAGTATGTATGAAAACTTGCCAGATCAATTTGTATGTATTGTGGTCCTGGAATTTTCCTTTTTGTTCTCCTCCATTTTTTTTTTGTATCTTTAGACATCAGGTTATGATTCTGTCTCTGTTCTTCAAGCAGGCAACAGCAGAGTGATGAGACGCCTATGGTTTGGGAGATACTTCTGTACATGTACATCCTTTACTCACCAGATTGGCATTACCGAAGCACTATGCCCACTTTTCTCTTCCTCTATGGAGCTGCGTTTGCCATAGTCCATGCCTTTGTCCGGTTTGGCATCGGCTTCAAGGTCCACTATGTGATCCTTTCCCTTCTTTGCATTCCTCGGATGTACAAGTACTATATCTACACAGAGGACAATGCAGCCAAACATCTCGCAAAGTGGTATGTGGTTACGCTTCTCATGGGGAGTATATGTTGGTTCTGTGATCGTGTTTTCTGCAAGACGATATCCGAGTTTCCTGTCAACCCTCAGGGACATGCCCTGTGGCATGTCTTCATGGGCTTCAATTCTTACTTTGCAAACACATTCCTGATGTTCTGTCGTGCTCAGCAACGGGGATGGAACCCGAAAGTCAGATACTTTATGGGAGTTCTTCCCTATGTCAAGATCGAGAAGCCAAAAACACAATGAGGAAAAGGGCCAAAGACAAAATATAGGTTTAGGCTCGTTGTTTTGTCAGAATTACGGCTGTCTTTTTTCTTTTCTTTTTCTTTTTTGGAACGGCAACTTCGTCTAGATTTTTTTTTGTTTTCGTTAGTTCATGTGATTCCTGCAACTTCTTTGACCAACCATTTTGTTCAACTAAGTACGTGTACCATAATTTTTAGTCCATTCTGTTTTCTGCCTGATCACGTTGTGTGTTTTTTCACCTGTCTTTGCATTGGATTTGTTCTGGTATTCAAAATTCGGAAACCTGAGTCTCGGTGAGTGCGAGATCAGGCCTTTATGCTGGCGAGAACCCAGGCCGCAGACTCAATTTTCAAGAACGGCTGTCCGGCGAAAACTCGATCTGCAGGTAACACCTGAAAGAGGGGAGAGGGCGAACCAGGGCCAAGAGAGACGGCAAGTGGACAAGAGGGATTACGGTTTCGCGATAAATCATAAGGTCCCTAACTCGGGATACATTACTAAAGGATTTAGTGTTTCGAATTTTTTAGTGGCGATTTCACCCTCGATGTGCAACTATATTGTATTGCCTTGAACCAGGGTCGCACCATCCTCTCGTCTCGACTCGTTCTCTCTCAACTCGTAATTCACCTCGCTGCCCTTCTCACCCTCCCGCATGATGCAAGTCTCTTTGTGGAACAGATACCAGGGTCCTCGCCTTACCCCATAGTACTCGAAGCTTGGAAACTCGACCCCATGAAGCCGAGATCGAGATCAGGTACACCAAAAAACTCGGGTACCCAGCGCCAGCTCACCCCTAGGTATAGAGGCTAACTACATGGATAAGAAAGCCATCTCCAAACCACAATGGCTAGGTTAGGACTTAGATGTAGAGCTTCAAATGGATTTATTAAGAGATTCAAAGACAATACATGAGGTAGTAACGTAGCAAAGCAGGATAAAATGGATCTGGAACATAGATTTATGGCCTGAAACAAGAAAACACTATACAAATGTAAAATGCACGATGCATAAACTCCAACTAAAATTATTCTTCTGAAACCCAAACCGCTAATCACTCATCTTACATTATCTGGTTTCCGATGATCAGTTCATCTGATTTGCAACATGAACGGAGAGGGAGAGAGAGAATACATGGCATGGTACAATGTCGGATCCAAAGTTTCCCATGAAGATGTCACAACCTTTCCTGCAACATTTGTCCAAGTTTCATGAACAGAGCTTGTTGTTCCTCCAGTGTCAGGCTTGTGATAACCTGTAAATTAGTAAAAAAAATTCCTGAATCAAAAAAATCGCCTCGGAGATACTAAGTCTTCATGGAATCTTGCATTATATCATGTTAAATGATGGCCACTAAGCAAATAAAACACCAAATCATCCCAAAAATTGTAATGGATAGCCGATATTTCTCATAAAAGTATCAAAATGGTAAGGATGCAGCTATTTGATTGGTTGATAGAATACATGAATAAGAACAATGGCATATGATGCCATTGTAAATTTACCTGCTCTAGGATCTTTTCCACCGATAAGCTTTGGGATACAACGAACGACTGATGGTAGATATATGCAAAAACAGCCATCACCATCTGAAGCCAAAATATGAAACATGGTCATATCATATACATACCATATACATACTATAAAAGCACTTCTAATCAGTAATGTATCGTACAATTAGGCAAATCTATTCCCGAACCCATCAGTTTGGAAGTGAAAATAACCGACATGCGGGTTACATATGTTGTATTGACGCCATTGGCTAACATATATATACATACCTGGCAAGCACGTCTTCTAATCAGTAACATATCGTGCTATCAGGCAAATCTATTCCCGAGCCCATCAGTTTGGCAAGAGAAACATACAACGTATTGAAGTCATTGGCTAATATGTGTGTATATATATGTATACCTGGCAATCCATTCTATCTGTGATTCCACCGTGTCCAGGAATACTATCACCAAAATCCTGCACATTGGAAACAAAAAAGAGAAAGCGTAAGTGCATGAAGATAAATTTGCAAAATTGTAGGGACAATGGGGTTTATATGAAGCACTTGTAGGCAAACCTTGATCTTGAAAGCTCTTTTGAAACCACTGGCAAAGAAGCCACCAAAAGGTGCTATAATCGAGGCGAACAAGCCAAGACATAAAGAATGCCACTGAACTGGTAGAACAGAAATCTCTTCCCATGGAAACTGCAAGGGAACAACCTAATTAGAAATAAAAAGAAGAAAAAAGACAAGAAGCATTAGAAATCGCTCAGTTAAGATGCTACAGAGATCAATAATCAAAAACAATTTTGCACTGTTAAGATCAGCCTTACCCATTTCAAAATCCATCCAGGTAAAGCATAAGTCTCGGGCTTGAACAATGGACCAGGATCACAATGGAGCCAACCAGTCGATAGATCCTTCATTTATATTAGTACACGAACAAAATGGAAACTCAGTTTCAAGGAAAGCTGTCAAATGAAGAACAAGCAGAACAGAACGAAAACTTCCAAGATGAGATTACCTCTCTTGGACATGTCAGCCACTGGAAACGACCCATTATATTTGCAAGCTGCAGAGACAAGCATGGTCAACAACCATGATATTATGAAGAAACCATGCAGACAAGCATCCACCCATAATTTCCCAACCTTATGCTAGAGTTTTTAAATCATAAATTCTCTGCTACGATTGTTTCAGAAGGATCAGGCAAAGTGACCCGTTTTAATACTTTTTGCATCATACTCGTTACCATCAAACCCAAGAAAAAGATCAACAGGGTTCATAGGGACAAGACAGACAAATCAGATACCGCATGCCGAAAATTATTTCTGTAGCATGTCCACTGTCAAAATTCATAGCATGACCCTAGATCGCCAACTCAGAGACATACATTCGGCTTTACTAACAAAAAATGAGAATCATGATACTTGAATATATCAATTTATTTGATAGAGCAGACACAATTTGGATTTGAAATGAACTTTGAAGGTCCATGCAAGCATGTACTACAAAGACACACATATATACAAAGCGGCTATGGAAATAATAAGCTTCAATGCTGGATTGGCACTGTCAGAAAGCTTGGCTCCATTTAAACAAAACTGAATAAATAGTCTCATAGGTCTTAGACTTAATCTGCAAGATTTTCAAATTGCTGACAGAAACTAATATCGGGTTACTAGCTAGATACAAGCCTATACCTAATAGCCAAAGAAGCAAGCTTACTAGGAATGCAGATATCATTGTGGTAACAGATGCCCCGATGAATCCCTCCCATGTCTTCTTTGGCGATAACTTGATCAGAGGTGTTCTCCCAAAGAAGAAACCGAAAATATATGCAAAGATGTCATCAATAACAATAAGTGATGCAGGAAGAAGAAACCTGCGCCAGAAATCAGCAACGGTAGCAAAATAAAGTTAGAAAGATAAAAATTACTAATACAAGAAACCAAAAGATTTAGCTGTATTTTAATCAAATGCCAACGCGATGTAAGGAAAAATATTCAAAATTCAAAATGAATAAAAAAGAACAGAAGGAGAAGGTAAGGAGGACTGAATAAACACATGTTACAAAGTGGATTACCAGAAGATTCCCTCAAAGATATTTGCAACGGTGAACGAGGACTGAGTAAATACTACGATTAAGATCATATGCGTCCATGCATACTGGCCAAATTGATATTTGTACATCTTCTTTTTCAGGGTCAGAATAAACCACACAAAGCCTGTAATCCGCAACAAAAATGCCAAAAGATACATAAATGAAATCACAGGGAAAATCACTGCTCATTCATGACAAGAACCAAAAAGACAAGGACAAAGATTATATCTGATTTCTCATAGATTAAAAAAAAACGGAAAGGAAAATGAAATTGGAATTATGGAAGTACATAGAAGATCTAACCAGAGATGTACAAGGAGTAACAGATTGCCATGTGGTACTTGATGAGGCCGCTGACCAACCGATATAGGACTTTGTCCGGAGTAACAGTGTTGGCTAGCCGCTGACTAAGTATTCGACCATATACAAAAAGCATTGCTGTGAAAAAGAAGTGCCTGCATCAAATGACGAATAGATGATGCTCAATCAAATGCACTAATTTCACTCAAAGCAACACATACAAAATAAAAAACAGAGAAAAATAAAAGGGATTTTTTTAGGAGAGTTCTCAACAGTATCAGCAGAGAATGGGAGCATGAAATGGGGGTGGGGGGTGGGGAGCTTAGAAGAAGAGGACAAGTGCCATTACCAATTCAGTATTCTAAACCCAGGGAGTTGTCTATCTTCATGTGTCTTCCTTAGCAAATTGAAAAGTTCACGTGCCATGAATATTTGGATAACAACCACCATGGCTGTAATATAGAGATGGCCCATGTAGACAATGACAGAGAAACCACCAATCATCCAAACAGTGGAATATGCCCGAATGAGAAATGACTTGTATTTGTTACGATCATTGACAAGCAGATGGCTTCCATTTGGTTTGCCTGTCCCTGGATTAACCTAAAAGCCAAATTCCAAATTTATACATCAAAGGAATACGAATATGAAGCAGGCATCTAAAAGTACTTATTTCCGTCCAGAACTACAACACCACGTTGAAATGACACACATCCAATTTGGCACGTCCATAACTTCCCAAGACAGGAATGAAACTACACTAAGCCAATAACAGCGTTGATTGCATATGAATCAACCATTATTTGGTTTAACCCTTGTTCCAATAACCAAAACGTGGAAGAAATATATCTAACCCAAGCCAACCATACACAGGGAAAAAGAAAAGGTCAATTTGGAAATCGAAATCGCAGGTAACATACATCAGTCTGTCGCTTCCGATGCCGAAGGCGAGTAGTTGGTGCCGATTGGGCATCGGCAGCATTCTCCTTTTGCATGGTTCCCCGGATTTCCTTTTACCCCAGGAAAGAAAACACCACCTCCCAGACCAAGCACAAGCAGATAGCTGAGAAATCAGATTACAATATAGCACATCCAGCATCAAGGTAATGTCTAAAATACAAATAGTTGAAAAACAAAATACTGAAACAGAAAGAAATCTTTTTTCTGATTCCAGCCTTTCATGGTAAGGCAATCTAGAAACATGTGCAGTACGAAACAATGGAACAGTACACGAGGAAACAGACATCACAGTTTTCCTTCTCTATTTCATCACGGGCTTCCGGCTTTTAAGAATAAAAAATATTTATAACAGAATCGATTTGCATACAACAACAGGGCCTTCATCCCAATTTAAAAAGAATCGATTTGAATATAAGAAGAAACCCATAGCTGAATTGATCAATCACGAGAACTTATAACAGACATTTTGAACACTTGGTAACCTCTCAGAGCACCAAAGACCAAAAGGAGAGGCTTCCCACTTAAACTGCTTTGTATTACTCGAGAAGGATGAAAAACTCTAGAATATAAGAACATTGAGACAAACCCATTTGCCATTGAATAAAGAACTTTCTAAGACAATATATAACAAGTCTTTTTCATTTGAAACTCTATTCCAATCTCGAAGTAAAGCAAATCCCATAATCAAGTTTGAACCTCCCAATGTCTTCAAAAACATTCACCCTAATGTTATTCACTTAATCGATCCAATCTGAAACACAAAATCAAAACTAAAACTCAATTCTAATTTCTAAGTCATGGAGGAATCACAAAACAGTACCTTGTTTCAAGAAAGATTGCATATTCGAGGCTCATTTCTAACCTATGCAAAATGCAAGCAATTCCATTTTTACCTTAGTCCCCTTTTCACCTAGTTTCAGTATGTTAGTACGATTACGATATGCAAAGGCTCGATGAATTTCTGTAGAATTCTACGGGAAATACAAAGATAGGGCAAAACAATTCACAAAAAGAAGAAGAATCAGAGACAAATACCGACAAAGGACAACTAACAACGATAAATTATACCAGAATTCAAACATACTGAATTCTAGCGGAACCACCTTCGATGACAAAGGCGAAGATAACAAAGGAAAACTCATTTAGTTTCCCATGGAGATCTGGGAACGCGAGATATGTGTGCATGGACACGACATACACATAATAGATGCATCTATACATACATGTGAGTGTATTAGATATGGTGAACCAGAGAGAAGAGATACAGTACATGTTCGTGAGCTCAGTTGCAGAGGGAAGAGGTGAAGAAGAAGACGAAACAGAGAAGCGAGTGGAAGAAGAAGAAGGGACTCTCTTCGTCCCGAATCGTTTGGGAATATGAATTTTGAGGGAAAAACAATAAAAAGGTAATGACTTTACCAGGATTCCATTTTCCAATAAACGATTAAAAAAATTAAAAGGAAGTGAAATCGAATAAACTTTAACCGGTCCAAAACGATCTAAACCGAAATACACCAATCAATAAATACTTTCTGAACAGAAATAGACCGGTATGTCCGTACATTTAATATGGTAAATACGCTGAAATCTAGGACTCCTTAGAAAAAAGGGCAAAAAAAAAGAACATTACGAATCTATATATATTAATAATTGTGTTTAAAGAGATGTGGTGAAGCCACCTCATCTCCATGTCATTATCTATGTGACATTTGTTTTAATCTATTTTTATTATAAACCTCATTTACTATATAAAAATTGATTGATCTACTATTAATTTTTGTTAATTATCACTCATTTTTGTTTTGCATATGAAAAAATAGATATCAATAACAATACTATTATAGTTAAATAATAGATAAATTTTCATATTTTTTATATAAAAATGTCTCTAACACTAACTATTACAGGTAAAAATTATATTTTATAAAAATTTACGTTATGCATATAATACAAAAAAATTATTATTCCTTGATACTTTATGTTAATAAACGTAACAAAATAAAATATTGCATACAATCCTTTAAAAATGAAAATTATTATTCCTTGATGTTTTTTGTTAATAATCGTAACAACATAAAATCTATATATATTAATAAAGAAGTTTAAAGAGTTGTGGTGAAGCCACATCATCATCCTAGGTGGATGTTTTCTAATTTTTGATTGGTTTATACAAAACTTCATTAAAACATGAATATTCAATTAGATTAACATTAATTTTTATACATAAAAAATAGTTTTAAAAATAATTGATTATAAGGATGACAAAGAATATCAATAAAATATAAAAACAAAGTTTATGTGGGAGGATCACAAAAAATGCAGAAGCAAAATGTCAAAATAGAAATTATTTATATATATGTGGTTTATTGTGGTGTCAAAATGTCAAAAAATTTTATGCGGAAAGATCATCCATGTGGCATTTTTAATAATTTCTATTGGATGTTGATTAGTTGCATAATTTTGGTTTTTAATAAGTTATCTCTAATTTTTATATATCAAAAACTATTTTTAAAAATATCAGTGGATCTTTATAATTAAAATTGGTCCGGCTGACCAAGTCCGGACTACACTCATTTTTCTCTTGGTCCGTCCGTCCTGTCCAAGTCCGGCTGACTGAGTTGGTCCGGAGCTGACCAACTCAGTTTTTCCCATTTTTATTTCTTTTCTTGGTCCGTTTCATCCGTTTGATCCGACTGATTGTCCTGGTCCGGCTGACCAATAGTTGGTCAGTTCCGGACCAGACCTCCTCCCAGTCCGCATTTTCCTTCCTCAGGTCCGTCCGTTCTTTCCCTTGGAACGGATCTGGTCCGGTTGACTGACTCTGGTCAGCTCTGAACCAATCCTCTTTCCCGAATTATTAGCGGCATTTATTTAATTATTTATTCTCGAAAATAATTAAATATTTTTCTTCGGGAATCGGGGTATTACAAATCCTCCCCTTAAAAAGAATTCGTCCTCGAATTCGGAATCCGTGGGATATGCTCCAATCATCATCACATTCATATCATCACATAGCCATCCAAAATGTAGAGTCTGATACAACAAATTGTCATGTATAACTCATACAACACTCAAGCAAAGAGATATGGCTAATTTGCTACGCATCTCCGCCTCGAGTTCCCAGATCATGTCCAAGAACCCTTGGCTCCGCCAACGAAACCTTCACCAGTGGCACTTCCTTCGTTCGTACCTTCTTGACCTTTTGATCCACGATTTGCAGAAGCTCGTCCAGGAATCGCATAGTGTCTATGAACTTCAACTCTTGTGGTTGTAGTACTGTGAAGGATCCGTTACGTACCTCCGCAGCATCGACACGTGGAACACGTCATGGATGTTGTCTAGTTTCGATGGTCGTTCAAAATGTTAGGCTGTTGGTCCTACCTTTTCAATCATCGGTAAGGTCTGATGTACAACGGTTTCAGCTTCCCGCTTTGTCAAAATCTTGCATGCTCCCGCATGGCCTAAACTGGGGGGAGAGCCAGATCTGCAACCTCCAAGGCGACCTCACGTCTCCGCTCAACGGCATAAGACTTCTGTCGATCCTGTGTCATCTTCAGGTTAGTGCGAATCCTTCGGATCACCTCCATGGTCTATTCCACGATATCGGGTCCGAACTCTTGTCTTCTCTGATCGGCATACGACTTCTGTCGATTCTACGCCGTTTTCAGGTTATC